GGAGAATTCTGGGAGTTGAAGTCCACGCATCTTAAAGTTGCCAAGTTTGAAGAACACTGGCGTAGACCAAAAGCCTACCAAACGTTTGTCACCCAATTTGATAGTGGAAGAAAATTAGCCCTTTCCATTCTTTCTATTTTCATCTTTCTTGGGAATTAAAGGAAGCAAGGAAACAAACCTTCTGGCGACACCCCAAAGGTTTTGCCCCGACCCCAAGTTTTCCGTGAAAAAAGTAGCAAACAGTTTAACCATTACTGAATTAGGGAGGCCCCGATGGATCCCAAGCGCTCTCTCTTCCAACCCCGTGTCCCATCGGATTTGAAAGGATCCCCCAAATACAACTCTCACCGGCAAGAGACAAGAGGCGTAAGCTTCTCATTCCCAGCAGATGTTTCAGCCCAAAATCTTGCACCTACAAAGGAGGAGAAGAAAGGATCATGAGACACCAAGCCCTGGAGCTTCCAAGAACAAGCAACAAAGGAACAAATTTTGTTCTTTGAGAAATTAAGAACAAATTCATACTTTGTTCCTGGTGCTCCGTTGCAAATGGCAAGCCCTGTTCTGAGCGACGCTCAAAAGGAGAGAATTTGCAAAGGGCCACTTCTCTGCCAGCTCCCCTTGACCTACCTGGCAGCACCAGCGGAGATATAAGTTCCTAAGGGAGGACATGGTGGACAAGTAACTGAGCCCAGTGTCTGTTATCCGTACACACCTGCCAGAGAAATGAAGATGGACAACAGTAAAGATAAAAGCAGGAGAACAAAGGGAATCTCTCCCTAGAGGAGTAAGCAAACGGTGGTCCTAAAGCACAAGCATGCGATTTTCATCAGGTCAAGGGCCACACTGGGCTTTGTGCAGCATGCTGAGGATCTGACTCATAAAAGAGGGTGGGACAAGGACCAGTTTTGGGGAAGGCTTAGAAGGATGAAGGGATTCAATAGGCGGCTTAAGCTTCTGCAGTCTTCAAGGGGCCCTTGTGCCTTTCACCTCCGTCAATTCTCCAAAACATCATTATCATCATCATCATCAACATCACCACCAACAAAGAAGAACAAATCTGTTAAAACCACTCAGGGTTTTGAAGGGCCCTGGAAAGTTGCCTAGCCTTGCAAAAACTCAGTATCTGGAGAGGCGTAGATACATGGCAGAACCAGTGATGAAATGTTACTTAGGCTTTTCTAATATCTCTGGTGTGTGAGCTAGGACAACTCACAAGGGGGCAGCATCAGATCATAGAGGATGAGTGATACCAAGCTGGAGAAGAAGAGGAAGACATTTCTAGATGGTAGAACCTGCCTTCTACTGCATATGAAGACTTCTGATGATTACGACAAACTGGGCATGGAGGTAGTGGCCCCACTCTCCATCCTGATACTAGGAAAAGGTGGATTCAAAGATCAAACCTGCTATGCAATATCACTCGGTCTTATAACTGGCAAGTGAGCTACCAATGAGGATTTGAAAAAAAGGGAATGAATGGATCAGATGTTGATAGAACGATAGCACCATAAAAGATTTTTATTGGATGTGTCACTATGAGGGTAGCCAACAGTTACATGCGACCCTGAGTCATAGGTCTTTGAAAAAATGTACTTGAGGCCCAGCACCTCATTGGGAGCCCTTTGAGGTTCTGAAGAACATTAGAGAACATTGGAAGCTACCTTGGACCAAGTTAGATCTCTGTTTCTCTAACTTGGGATCATCTCATGGGTCCTTCCATTGCCTTACCTCATCTTTGTCTGTCCCACTCTCCACCCTGTACCCCTTCCACTTTGCCTCTTTGCATCATGACTTTCACAAGTTCTGCTCTGTGGCTTCTTTTCTCAGCACAGTTGAAGACAGTCAAGGGCATGACCCCAAGCTCTCCAGATTTTACCCATTCCCTGGGATTTCTTATTTCAGGCCTCAGTGTTGTCACCTGCAAAAGGAATCAGGAGGATCAGTGCCCTCCTTACCTATCAAGCACCAGCTCTTCCAACTTGTGGAGGTCACAGGCGATGTACTCAAGAGCCATGTCCGTGATCCGAGGGCACCACGACAGGTCCAAACTCCGAAGCTTGCGGAGGTTCTCTGCTACCAACTCCACACCATCATCTGTCACCTTCGAGCAGCCAGAGAGGCTGAGCACGCTCAAGTTGGGCAGGCTGTGCACCATGTTCACCACTCCATGGTTGGTGATCTCCCAGCAGGAGTTCAGGCGGAGAGTGTGGGTCGTGTAACCCTGCTTGGCAGTGAAGTAAGCCAGGGCTGTATCCGTCACATGATAGGCTTGGAGATTCAGCTCGGTCAAGTTGGGCAACAGCTGCGAGATGGCAGCGATGGCATCATCGGCCACATTGATGCAGTCGCTGACGCTCAGAGAGCAGATGCGGGCATTCAGACTTGACCAGAGCCCTGCCTCCGTGAAATCATTGCATCCAGACAGCTCCAGACGCATGACACCCTGCATCTGTTCCAGCATTACCTGAAAGGGCAACATGTAGGCTAAGTTCACAAAATTCACTCAAAACCCAGATGAGAAAAACAGCATGGCTGCCTTCCAACAGAAGAGAATATCTGTAGCTCAGGGTTGAATTCTGGAGTCCTTGGGGGTCTCTGAGCTTGGTTGTTTTCTTGCAGACGTTTCATTACCCTATTAGGTAACATCTTCAGTGCTAGAAGGGTTAGGGTCAGGTTATCTTCTGGCACTGAAGATGTTCCCTATTAAGGTAATGAAGTGTCTGCAAGAAAGCAACCAAGCTCAGAGAACCCCAAGGACTCCACAATGGTTGCCTTCATCCAATACACTTCACATATTTACTGAATTAACCCATTTTCTGGGTTTAAACAATGTAAAGTAACATATCAGACTGAGTTTGCATAACATCATGTCCTCCCCCAAAAATGTGTAAATATAGTTGCTTGGTCTTTAAATGACTTGGTTAAATGTGATACCCAAAGAAATAAAACATACTATGGCTTAACATGACAGTTTAGTTCACAAAATATGCTAAGACAATAGCTAGATTCCCGTGACACACAGAGTCACGAATTATCCCCCAAAACTGTGGGAATTTCACCCATGGGCTGAGTTCGGACAACAAGCTCAACTTGGTTACTGAATTAACCCAGCTTCTATGTTTGCAAAACATATTCCACCTAAGGGCATAGATTTGTACAACACAGTAAGCCTCCAAAAAACTAATCAAGGTTAATATTAACTAAGTTTAGCATATTGTGTAAAAGCACCTACTGGTCTTCCCATAGTCAAAGAGTCTCACAAGGTGGAGTGAAATGTATCTCTGATGTCACAAATAGAGACGTATCATTTTTACATCTGGAAGAAAAGTCCTGCAAGTTTTCTTTCAGAAGTTTTACATCACAGAATTCTCAGCCAATTCCCACTGGGATGTTATCAATATTGGCTTAGATCAAGGTGATGTAGGTGTGTGGAATCTGTGGCTCTCCAGATATTGTTAACCTCCAACTCCCAAAAGCCACAGTCAACACGGCCAATAGTGAGAGACGCTGGAGGTTGTATCTCAGCAGCGTCTGGAGCATCACAATTTCCCCAGTCCTGGGTTAAATAGCATATGACTCAATATGAGGCACCTTCCTGCCTTACTGAAGTTCCTTCATAGTCAGGGAGGGATCATATCCCTGGTTTAAACTACTGTAATACATAAGGAAATACGTAAGAAGCCATAACGACGTCATGTACTTCATCATGACAGTGATACAAATTATGTCACTACGATGCTGCTAACATCAAATCCATAATTTTCATCTTTGGTGCAATGACATCACTCTTCCTTCTCAAAATGCCCTTGCTTTGTATACAGAATGCCTCTGGTCTAATCTTCTGCACTCCCCTATCAGTTACAGCCAATATCCATTTCTCACTCAAGCAGACAGTACTGCTGTAGGTGGAAGATAGTCTGAGCTAGCGTGAAGCCAATGCTTTTAATTGATAAAGCCATCGAGAACAATTTGATTGATTAATCAGTTGGGAACAAAATAATCTGCAGCAGGATGATTTAAGATGAAGCTTCTTTTTTTTCTCTGTTACTCTATTTTAGTTCTGTTACTATAACAGGCAAAGGGAAACGATCAAAGACAACTTTTCCAATTACTGTAATCGTAATGGCTCACTAATAGCAACTTCACCCATCTGCTTAAATATCTCAGAAAGACATCTGTTCCTATGGGGTTTAGGCAGCACACAAAGACACCACTGGGTTGCATTGATGGGAAGTAGTGGCTTGTTGGGAACGAGGCCACGTGTGAGCCAGGGCTGAGAACTGCTTAAAAAAGAGCCAAGGTTGGACCCAACTAGTCAGAAGTTAATTTTGTACAACAAAGCAGGGCTTTCTCGGTGATGAATCCATGTAGAATCAAGTTGTAAAGTCCAGCATAAGTCGTTGGAAGCAAGAACTGAGTCCCTACTTTGTGCTAAGCCATGGCTGGCCTTAACCATGGTTGGTTGAGTAAGCCACAATGGCTAGGTTCCCACTTGAGGCTAAGCCATGGTTTACAGAGCAGAGTGGCTGGGTTCACGCAACACACGAAGCCAGCTTCTAGCAACCCACAATATGGCATAGACTTAATATAATGTGCAGATTCAGTCCAGAATTCCTGAATTAAGTGCTGTTAAACATCCCCTCTTTCAATGGCTATTCATGGTGGTGAGGAAAGATTACTGGTGCTTCACTGTAGCTTCTAATGCAGGGTTTATCTTATCTTATTTTATTTTTATTTTATTTATTCGATTTATCTCCGCCTAATGGGGGACTCTGGACGGCTTACAAGATCCGTTAAAACAATACATATATAAAACATAAAAACTATACGAACCATTAGCAGAAGAAAGAGTCCAAGAGGCTGATGGTTACCAGAGCTGCAGACGCCAGGCCTCTAAGGAGCTAGCCATCCCCACGCTTGGTGACTTCCCCCCCCACCCCAGGCCAAGTGGCAGAGCCAGGTCTTCAGATCTCTCCGGAAGGCCAGGAGCGAAGGGGCCAATCTCACCTCCGGGGGCAGGATATTCCAAAGAGCGGGGGCTACAGCAGAGAAGGCCCGCCTTCTGGACCCCGCTAATTGGAGGTCTTTTACCGAGGGGGTCCGAAGCAAGCCCTCCCTGTGTGATCGCGTGGGACGGGTTGAAGTCACAGGAAGAGGTGGTCCCTTAAGTAACCTGGTCCTGTGCCATGTAGGGCTTTAAAGGTGATAACCAACACCTTGAATTGGACCTGGAAGCAAACTGGAACCCAATGCAGCTCACGGAGCAACGGTGTTACATGGGCCCTTTTTGGGGCTCCAAAATAGCCCGCGCGGCTGCATTCTGGACCAGCTGTAGCTTCCGGATACTCTTCAAAGGGAGCCCCATGTAGAGTGCATTGCAGTAGTCTATATGGGAGATAACAAGGGCATGAGTGACCAAAGGGCATCCCGATCCAGGAAAGGGCGTAACTGATGCACGACCTGAAGTTGTGCAAAGGGTCTCCTGGCCACGGCTGCCACCTGCTCTTCAAGCAGGAGCCGTGAGTCTAGGAGGACCCCCAGATTACGCACTGGGTCTGTTTGGGACAGTGCTACCCGCCACCCCCCCCATCCAGGACCAAAGATGACAAAACAAGGCTGGCTGGGGAATTCTGGGAGTTGAAGTCCACCCATCTGAAAGCTGCCAAGGTTGAGAAACACTGTTTTAGTGGATGCCTACAGCTGTCCATTTGACTCTGATTTATGGAAAGAGAGCCTGGAGGCTTAAAAGTTTTCCCCCAGCAGCCTTACGCACATATTACAGTGACATTGGCCGCCAGGAGGCACCTTCCCCAAAGTCGAGAAGGCTATAACCCTGAGTGACTCTCTTAGGGTGGGGATTGGTGCAGAAAGACCTCCAACAGTCACACACTTGTTCCATGTAGGTCACATTAAAAAATGGGTGGAACTTTCATCATATTCTCCCGGCTGCCATCTTTTCTGTTTTGATCATAGTTTCTAGTCAGATATTTCACAACTTTCTCCATGAGTCCCATTTTTTAAAAAAATTGGCCATTTGGGAACTTTTTGGTGAAGTTCTGTTGGCTTTGGGGGGCTACCTCCAGCCTGGAGAGGTCAGGTTGAACTTCTCTGCACAGAGGCACAGCTCTCAGCCTGGAAGCAGACCTACCTCAAGACCTGCATCCGTGATGGTCGATCTCTTAAGGCTCATAGATTTCACCCCTTTCTTGGAGAGGGGGTAGTTATCAATGAACTCACAGATGTCCAAGTCGGAGACCCCAACGAGGCAGAAACCATCAAACCCCCGGATTGCGAAACCTTGAAGGTTGACAAATTCCTTATCTCCACTGGGCAGGACGTTGTAGAGCTCTTTGGTGTCCAGCACCGGCGTCAGACCCACCCAAAATTTGGGTTGATACAAGACCCTCCTCCAGGCTTTGCACACCTGGGCCAGGACACATTTCTCACAGGCTGAAAAGTACATAAATAATCGGTTCAGGATTTTTTCATCCACAGCGAGATGTCTTTTGGTGGGAGAGCCAGAGAGGTCTTCCAGGGATGGGATGTCCCCATTGGTTGGGGACATCTCATCAGAGGGAAGTCCTACCACTGTGGCTCCTGAAGGCCCCCCTGCCAGAGCAGCCAAAGACAACGGAGAAGTTAGACCAGGCATGGGTAGGTCGCTGTGATTCATTAAGGCTGGGCTGATGATTGCAGGCACGGAAGATTGACACAAGCGGTTTTTCATCGCCGGGGTCCCTTTGGTGATGCTTGCGGAGCCGAGGCCATTGGCCTGGGTGGGGAGTTTAACAAGTCCATTCCGGGGTAAACACGGGGGCTTGGTGTCACTGTTGCCAAGATTCGACATCTTCCAAGATCACTCTGGAACACAACACAGAAAGGCATTAGAAACCTCCTGAGCTCAGCTCTTCTCAGAAGAATCCCCACCACCGCCACCACCAGGCCTTTCACTTTTTTTTTTAACCTGCCTCTGGAAAAAGGAGCCTGGGAAGTTGGGGGAAAACAGCAGCAACAACCCAGTTCCATTTTATTGCTAAGAACATGGCACAAGGGGTCCATAAGTTGCCATGTCTCCAACTCCAAAATTGCTACCTTTTTTATTCGGTAAAGAACCACAAGTGTGACCAGTTGGGGTTTTACAGTCTGAATGAGAAACAGCCCCCCACCCCTGGGGCCAGCCAAGCAAAAAGGCAGAGCAAAAATAGCAGAACTGGCTACAAGAGAGGACTTGTCATCATGGGGTGATAAGGACAGTTCTTGAATTATTGATCCCTACCTAGTTAATTCATGAACTGTTTGCGGATCAGAATTTAGCTGAATTCCCTCACCATGCTAAGCCATAAAGTGTTTGCCTTGCATTTTAAGCTTAATAAGCTGTGTGAAACCAGCCACCAGAGTTTCTTCAATAAATAGTTAAGCCAACCATAGATTACTTTGATTTACATACACAATTCGTGCAAGTCTTGAGCTGCAAGTCTGAAAGGACAAATGAAACTGTTGGCTGTCTGGATTTTATTTGCATTCCCCAGCCTCGATTTGCATATTCTGGCACAATATGTCATTTCCAGGGTTCTGCCTCACAACCTTACTTTGTGCAGCTCGCAAAATAAATCATTGATAATTTCTGATTTACACAATGGGTGCATTTTATGGGAACTATATCTCAGACAACTTCCACACACAGCCTCTACTCAAGGGGTCTTGTGGTGGGTGTGTCAAGATAGTGGTGATATCTGGCCTTCTTTTTAGATGTGTCATGGCCAACCCCTTGACTTTTTTGACCCCTATGGACCCCCCCTGCCTATTTTAGCATAGGCTCTCTTGACTTTACAAAACACTTTTTTCCCAAATCAGTGCTTGAGCTTTTCCTTCTTGCTCTAAAATGGTCCCCTCTCACCTTTCACAGGTATCCTGTAATCAAGTGTTTCTCAACCTCAGCAACTTTAAGATGTGTGGACTTCAACCCCCAGAATTCCCCTGGCTGGGGAGAGGAGGGGAGGAAAAACACAATCCGACTTGCACGATTCTGTTATAGCCTATCTCAATAAAGCTTCGTTCTAGTCTCCTTGTGGAGTTGGTTTCCTGCTCTGGACAACCTTGAAGGGGTGACATTCTGGGATGAATTTCCTGGCCTAAGGTAACGATAGGTATGTGAAGGTGGATGGATGCTAGCTTGTCACTAGCAGGTCCAGGGAGCTGTAGATCACAGAAGGACTCTTTGAGACAAGCTGGACTCCTAGACAGGTCCACCTAGTTTTCTAGTTTTTTTGGCCGCCGTAGGGAAGTCATTTCCCATTACCTTTTTTGGGGAATCTTTTTCCCACTTCCCAGTCTGGATTACAGCCCTGGGGTTTCCTGAAATCTCCCATTAAGGGTCCAAGTTCTGCTTAGTGTTTTGAAACTGCCAAGGTCCACATGATTTTCTTGGCAACAGATTGGAAGTGGTTTGCCACGATCTTCTTCTGAGATGTTTTCTGACTTCCCAGTCTAGCCTACCCCACTGGCATTTCTTGGCGATCTCCCATCCAAAGAAGAAGTCTGACCCGGCTTAGCTTTTTGAAGATCAGCCAAGGTTAGCTAGGAGCCACCAGCCATAGCCTGCAAAACTCATATGCAGTATTGAGCGAGTTTGTATGTGTGGCCCGCTTTCTGATGAGCTCATGTGTGCTCTCATTTGCAGCCCTGTCACATTTCACAAAGATTAGCCTGCTCTCTGGGGAATCTATTGTTGAGCTAAGTGTGTATTGGATTTTCCAAGATCATCAATCAATACAACTGAAACCAGGTAACATAAGCCATTCTCAGTTACACGACTATTGTGTTCAATAGAATTGCATATTTCTAAAAAGAACAGGAAAAGGATGAAATCAGCCGCTCTCTGCAAAGGAAGAGGAGCCCTCCTCAACCCTGCAGCAAATTAACAATTTAAAATATTGAGAAAGCCAAATTATTATTCTCCAGTAATGACTGACAAACGTGGCCATTTTGGCTAACGTCGCAAGAAAGACAGGATCCCAAGCTTCCCCAGAGACATCTACCTCTGTGATGCCCGACAGGTGCTACGTGGGCTCCATGCATACATGGGCTTAGCACTCTTCGGAAAGAGTGCAATGCTTGTTTTTTAAAACATGGGCTTCACATGAGAGTGAGAAAAATCCCCAGGTATACCAGATGCCCCAAAAGACCCCACTGTAATGGTATGTGGGAAAAACTTGGGAGACAGGACAAAGAGATTCTGCCTAGGAAACGGTCAGATAAGAGATGGTATAGCCCACAGCTACATAATGGGAAGAGGAAGAAACTCAGAAAGGAACCTCCCCAACGTATCAGGCTGTAAAAAGAGACGGTGAGAAATCTGTACTTTCAGACTTGCAGAATTCTGTTAACGTAGCCTTACAATAAAGTAGAATGAGCTCATCTGGTTGTGTTTCCTGTCTGGTCTACCTGGGAAGGCTGACACCCATCATGAAATTGACTAGAGAGAAGAGTAAAACCGGCCAGACTTGGGTCACTGATACAAAGCTGGCTTGGGTGTCTGTGGCTGAGATCCACTGATCTGACCTCACTTC